TCTTGTGGCTGCACGTGTGACCTCATGCTGATAAGTGATAAATGATAATATATCATAACATTAGCGGTTATTCTTATATTATTATTTAGCACGAAACGATTCCAATCCTGATATTCTACTTAATATTATATGCGTCAGTTCAATTTAAAAATGTCAATTTTCATTTGTTTTTTTTTTAGCGAACCTCGGTATTTCATGTCGGTGATATAATCCGATCACGCTGTAATAATATCATATTCTAGGTGATATTATTTTTAGTTTCATAAGTTCAGAGGGAGAGAGTATAATATGACATGGAACAAATAAATAGGAAGTACTAAGTAGGTATGTACCTCTATAGGTAGGTTTAATATCGTTCAATAATTCAATGCATACGCGTTCGGTATAATTTCTAAGCTAATTATCATGTAATTTATAGAAACACATCATATGGGTTCCTGTATGATTAAAATATTATCCATTCTCTATCTGACCGCCTCCTTGGACGGTCAGATGGCGTGAAAGTTAAAAAATAAGGAGTACTGCAAGTTTTCAAAAGTACTAGCAAACGATTTTAGCACGTAATTGTGGGTTAAAAACGTAAATATTTCACTGTTGGCATAATATCATCACCATAAAATATAATATAAAATCTCGAAAGACGTAACCTTATAGCTATAATACCTATATGATGTTCATGACCTGTTCGTGTGTGTGTTTTTTTTAAACCGTTGCAATCTATGTATCCACTTTTTAACACAATATTAATATCTATGTTACTCTTATGTCTGTTATTATTCGACATTTAAACATGTTATGCACTGATGTACCGGGTTTATTATTATGTATTCAAAACATAATACGAGGAGCCTATGGGCTAAATATTATGAATAAAATGTAGGTATACTCGTTTGTACCTTTATTACAACAATATGGGTAAACGCCTCCTTATTGTTGTTGTTGACGTCGAGTCGGGTGTTAATACTATTTATTTTTTTATCGGAGATACCCACTTTGTACAGTTAAATAAAGTTCGCCGATTGGACATCCGAATGTAAACCTAGTGTCAAAATATTACGGGAAACGCGTGTCGAGGAAATCTTCGTTTTCGGTCGAACATAATAATGTAACGTATAAGCCAACTGAGGTTATGCAATACCCACACTGTATGCAGTATACAATATTATATACATGGCTAGATTGATAGTTTATAATGTCGTGTACGTCTTTATTTGGTTGCGGACCATAATGGTCAACACCCGAAAACTGGTTTGTCACGTATTATTTCGCTATATTATCGCTATATATCCTTTCTCCGAGGTACCTCATCTATACAACGCTTTATTATGACGTATTAAATGATAGTACCTATATATAATAGTATCCACATAATGCGGTGTGTAATGCGAGTGTGTGTGTGTGTGTGTGTGTGTGTGTGTGTGTGTGTGTGTGTGTGTTGTTATTACCATAGTGTTATTATACCGCTGTCGTAAAGACAAAAATGCCGATTCGGTCGATCAACCGGTGCGAAAACGTCAGGTGCAGGTACTCTGCAAAAACCGTCGTTTGAAGTGGCCAATCCAAACGTCTCCACATAGATCCTTGCTCCTTGATTTACTTATATTATAAATATAAAAGAGAGAGGGGGGGATAGACATTTACGAATAATTATCAAGTCGAGTGACTTGACAAGCCTTTGTCTATACTGTCGAGCAGGCACTGCAGCTGTGTACAATAATAATATAATATAGGTAGGTATATTATATATGGGGAGAAATATTTCTGCTACAGCTCGCCTCCGAGCGATAATTAACCCTGGAGACTTCCGTAATTAGGCTTTGAGCAGGCCTTTGTTCCCCCGTAATGAAAAAAATCTCGTTCTAGATCCGCATCTACTGCAGCAGTAATTATCATACAATATTATTTATGGGTATATATATTATTATGGCGTTGTAAACGGTATAAACGGTATAATTAATATGCCTATACCATCCAAATCATGCCTGCCATAGTTTTGCAGTGTATATAATTAATGCATTGAAATAATATAATATCACTGCTGGCGTTGATGATATACCATGTTATAATGCGATTGTATTTTATTCAAAAAGATAATGGCCGCGGCAGATTGATTCCGTCGGCGTTGGGCGCATAAATAGTGATATAAATATATACATAAATAATACAATTATACATTATTTAAAATATACATATTCGAAACCGTTTTTTTTTCAAATCGTAATAATATTACACAGGCATCTAAAATATTATGGATTTTCGTCGTTTTCGGGGGGTTGGGCCGGTATAGCGCGTCTATCCGTCGCACATGCCGCCGCCGCCAGTGGCCGATCGCCCGCGTACGTGTGCAGAAGTATATTATTCATTATAAATTACAATAATAATAATAATGTAATACGTTTCCGCCGATCGAAACTCCCGTCACAATTAATATAGTGCTTTCTCCACGCTCGTATATATAATATAATAATATTATATTCGAGCTGCAATCTAACCTGGATGTCCATATATGCGCACGCGACGGCCATCCGGTGCTCCACGCCTGTGTTGTCTATATGACTATATCCTTGTCCATCCTTGGCCTCGCTCGTTGCAAATATTGCACACACACGCACACACACGCGCACACACACACACACGCACACACGCACATTATCGTATAGTGATACCGCTTGATTCACGTAATACCACAAAAATCGGTAGATGATATTATAGTGTACCGACGCGACGCGTGTACACCTATACGAAAATATGAGCGCAGATGGTCGCCGAAAAACCATGTTTTCGTTCCCGGGGGGGCTCTACGGGGACGACACTGCGAACATTGCAATAATATACCGTTAAAATCGAAATCAATCGATATTAATAATAATAATAATAATAATAATAAATAATAATATGCGTTACACTATACGCGCGGCGGTACCTAATGAAAACACGTAGGTAGGTAGGCACATTATGATGCAACGACGCATATATTATTATGTAAATATTTCAAAATATAACAATGTCTTGCAGGTACCCATGTAGAGTTATATTATTTGGTATCCGTATGCAATATAGGTATTTTTGAATTGACGAAAAATATAATATTTAATTCGTCCGACGAGAATTTTCTCGTGTAACGGTACCAATCGTTTTTTATTCCTGAGATATATCACAGGCGGACTACCGAGAAGAGAATCATATTATATTATTTTATTTCAGGTGGACTGGAATATTATTCCGTCACCTGCACACACGTCGCATTGCAGAATATCTATAACGATTAAAAATCGTGTAGAAACGCAACGGAAAATTATTGCCATTTTTGGTTTGTAAGCGGTTAATGCGAAATCGTCGAAACCACGAAGTTATATATATATATATTACATTATAATCCCCAGGGTCAAATGCGGTTAGGTTAATGTAATGCATTATTATTGTACGGAGAAAATAAAAAAAAAAAAAATTTTAAAAAATGTTCGAGCTGTACGTGCCGTGGTCGTGTGTGGTGTGCGTGTATAAATATGACTAAAAACCTATATACACATATAATATGACTAAAAACCTATATACACATATAATATGACCGACCTTTCAGCAGTACATAGATGTACATATTATTGTTGTTATATATATTTATTAGTGCACGCTTTTATCGACGCACACATTGGTCGCTTGTAATATTTAATACATACTATTATATACAGTGTGTGTGTGTGTGTGTGTGTGTGTGTGTGTGTGTGTGTGTGTGTGTGTATGGTGCGATTCTGGCCAACGGAGCCAGTTTTTTATAATATTACGTCGCGACCGATGTTTATGTGTATTTAAGTGCAGGTACACGCTGTTCTAATGCGTGTTATTAATACACGTCCCTCGCCTATACTCGGACGCGCAGTCATTGTTAAAAAAATAAAATAAAATATTAAACAAACATTATACTCACCTATAATCTATATAATATCGTTATTATTGCGAAGTCTGCCGATTTTTTTACTCTATCGCCGTGACTCCGCGATTACAATGGCGTTTACATAAACGCGTATATACAGAGTGCTTCGAATGTTGTGGTCTGTGCGTCAAAAACGGCAGTTACAGAACGATATAACCTTTCGAAGGCTAACACTCGTCAACCGTCTTATAATGTATCGAAGTGTTTGTAACGGTAATCATCCGAGTTTCCTCCAGAAATGATAATTTCCGTTCTTCTCCACTGTTCATTGTCCTTCGAATAAAAAAGAAAAAAAGCTCTTAATTATTGCTTCTAAGTTATAACACATTGTACTCTGTATTTCGACCATATTTTAGCAACGGCAATGACAGCCTCAACTGTGAAGTATTTCGTAAATGGCACTGAGAGTCGATAATCTTGTAACTCTAATTATTAAGCTTAAGAATATAACTTATTATTATTTATTATTAATAAGAACGCAAACACAGGCATGCGTTGATAACATTTTCATTAGTTGCATTACATAAAAGTTCTGTTCACTTCCGTTTTTCTAAAAATATTGTTACGAGCTTAACATAACAAAAGTTATTTCAAACCTGTCAGACATTTGTGGTACACTTATGTATTTGTGAATATTACATCATTATAAACAGCTAATATTTAAACAGGTATTCATTTCTTCGTAAAATAATAAAAATATATTTCTCATCATCATCATTTTCAAGTTTTCATTAACCATACATACTGGTTCAAAATCATCAGAAAAATATGAAGTAAAAATAAAAATCTGTTTCAGAATATGAAGTTAAAATTTAAAAATGTATGTCATCATTTAAAAATTAAAATAATGTAATTTAATCAAAATTTTTGTTTAGTAATGACTCAAAGTTATGTAAAAAAAATTCTAAAAAATTTGATACTATTTGAAAAATTGGGTGTTTTGCTATAAACGAATCGTCTTGCATATTGTGCCATTTCTGTAGATTTTAATATTGACAATATTGTCATACAACTGACACAACATATATTATTTTAATGCAGACGATCGAGTTTGAATATCTAGAAAATGTTAGTAATCAACTTTTGTTTACTGTCTACAGAACAAACAAGGGAATCATGTGTCCGGAAATAGGAGGATGTCATCTCCCAGCAAATCCCAGAAACCGGCCGGAAACAACGCATGGTTCAAGTCATTGGACAGATTCGGCAAGAAAAACAAGGTACGATTTTCCGAAAATCATAAGTAACTTCACACACACACACGCACACACCACACACGGTTACATATCATATAAGTCACGATATTCTCTGTACATTTCTAAGCGACTAATGAGTTTTTTTTTTCTTGTACATATTATAATACAGAGATCGAAGACGTTCACGTCGGGCAGTGAAAATGATGACGAGATCAGGGTGCACAGGGTGAACGATCGGAACAATTCGAAGGGGACGACCCGGTCGTACCACAGCGTGGGAAACCTCAACTCTCTGGACATGGACCAGTCGCCCAGGCTGACTGCCGACAAGAGGCACTCCCTGATAGACAGTTCAGCGGGCAGCACCACCGAGGGCGACAGTAGTCAGAAATCGCACAAGTCCACGGTCTATCTTCACGCAACCACGGGTATGTACACTGAATTAGCGCCCTCGTGACTATGCAACTGGTGTTTGCATACTTCATGCACTGATAACGGATAAGTCTATGAGTAAAGTATAGGGCAAATACCATATGATTGCATTGAACGAATTATTGAGAGGTACAGGGAGTGAAGTCGCAACACAAAATTGACATGTAACTGATTAATTAATAGGTAGCTTAAGCACCCTCAGTTTTGACATCGAAATGACATTCCTGAGTAGTCGAAGTTATTACGGTCATTCTGTAATATACCTATAGTTATTAGACTGCAGTGGTTCTCAGTCGCAGGGGGGGTGAGGGAGAATTCATGAAATAAAGTAGCTGATTTCATGTGAGGGAAAAAATTACCTTTGATTGATTTGTAAAATATTTCTAAGCACATCTATGATTTGCAGACTGCGTTGAACATTTTTGAAGTGACTCGTACCCAAGTGTCCCAAATTAGTGATTCAGTTTTGCTCCGGTGTCTGATAATAAAATAAAATGAAATTGCAATGCATATTAATCACAAAATTGTGATTGAACGGCGTTGTAAATAGGCTACTATTCGTACACTACTGTTGTTTGTCAATTTTTTAGATACCGAAAGACACTTATCTCGATAGTTTGTTCGGCTGATCCCATTATCGAATACAACATTATTATTATTCTATCAAAATATGTTAGAATTGCCATTTAGTGGGGATGGGGGATAGGGGTCATAACATCTGATCTCAGTCTGCGCAAGCGTTCTCGAAAATATTCAGGATTAACGAAAAATGTTTAATTTTTTAAGTATAAACTTACTTACTTAAATTAATTTTTTTGGTTTACGTGCCTGCCTATGGCATTCATCGTGAGTAAAACCCGCCGTGCGATCGGTACTATTGGTCACAAGACTGTAATATTCTATTTAAGTAAATGCTTACTCGGCATAGGCTTATAAGAAATAATACCAATTTGCGCCATATACATCTTATTATTATTATTTTTATTTACAAACGTACACAACATAGCAAATTTGTGTTCAGCAGTTCCGGTCGTGTATATAGTAACTGTAGACTAAAGTAATACCTTAAATAGTACTGTGAGTTAACAGTTCAAACTTAAAGATAAAAATAGTATTTGTTACTTTCACTCATCATCTGTTTTTTTTTGAGATGGTTTAATTTGTAAGCAAATTATGAGTGTGTAAAATATAAAATTTTAAGAATGTTCATAACTTAATCGGTCAATTTTATTCACTCTAATATTACATGTAACAGCACAAATTTGAAAATTCTGAACTCAAATTTGCCGTGTTGTCCATGTGTGTAAGACAAAGACGACACTCGAGGGCGGACACGCCCTAGCTCTTAACGCCTATCTCGTGTGTAACTATAATATTATTATGTTTGTGTGTTTTGGACGGACGGTGATGACGTGCGCAGTAGGAGAAATACCAGAATCGCGACAGCTGCACCAGTCCGTGTTCGGGGCAAAGAGCAGGCGGGCGGCCAGCCGCGAGGAGCTGTCTTCGCGCAACGACGCGTTCGGCGGGGCCCAGAAGCGCACGCTGTCCCGATCTGTGTCCGTGCTGGCGCCGTGGGCCCCGCGGCACAGCGAGGGCCGGACCGTGGACTACGACGAGCGCGGCCGGCCGCCCAGGGCGCCGTCGTCGGGCAGACACGGACCAGTCAAGGCCACCAAGAGCGACCCGGAAGAGTCAGCGGCGGCGGGCGCGGGCAGGCCCACGTTGGCGGCCCGGACTAAGAACCGGCAGCCGAATCGGGCCAGTTCGGGCGAAGAATCGTCGTTGCTGGACGAAGTTATCATCCGGACCACCAGCCGCACAGGCAAGCTCATCAAGGACGACCGTTCCACGTCCCGGCAGATCGGCAGGTCCATGTCGTCGGCGAACAGGTCAGCCGCGGGAGGCACGTTGACACGGGTCAAGACGAAATCGTAGTGGACAAAGTGGTCGACGACGAAAACAACGACAATAATAATAATAAAAATAATAATATTCATAATAATAATATAATAATAATAATAATAATAGCAATAATAATATGTAATAATAATGATAGTAATAAAATATAATAATATAATAATGATGATGATGATGATGATAATAACGCATACAAATAATAATAGGTATATACATTTTGCAAGTAACCATCCTGCCGCCGAAAAAGAAACAAAGAAAAAAAGTTACACCAATAATTAATTATACTTACCTAACAAGTTCGGCGCAGGTGCACTACCTGCAGCTGGCGAAGTTAAAAATATTTTTGATTTTCCAGTTTCACGGGTGGTTTTCGTGCGATTAATATTACAATATATTATGTTGTGATTATTATGACCCTTAACACTTTTCAATAACTGCCATTGGGTACCAGCTGGTTGGCGTAATCGCATTTGTCATATTATATTAATATTGTATTAATTGTTATACGGCAAAGGGGAAAATAGTGAAGCGTTTCCTAATTATCAAGAAAATTGAAAAACATGTTAGGAATTTAATATATTTTTTTTAACAGCAATTTATTTCGTTTACTAGAAAATTCGGATTTTTTTTATTCGTACGTCCTTAATTTTAATTATTAGTTAAGTGCATACGACAATTATTTCTAATTTGAATGCATCTGCTTTATGATTTTGGTGCTCATGTCCTATTTTTTTCTAACATTTCACGGTTTTTATTTTGCCCACAGCATGAATCGTTATAAAGAAAAATCTACTTATGAACTTTTTTATTTTACAAACCATATTGGTGTATGCACGTGACTATTGCTTTACATCCCTAACATCCCATATCCATTTGTTTCACGCCACTTAAGTTAGCTGTAGCTTGTCTCCAAAAAATTGAACTTGTCGTTTGTTCTCTATATATTATTTTCGTTTTGCCCCATTTTTTGAGCAGACAAACATAAAGTGATGTCTACATCACAAATTTGGATTTATATTGCTTCTTAAATAATGGCAGTCGCTTTTTTTCGCACGTGTGCATTTTGGGAGAAACATATGTTTTCGTACGTATTTACATACGTATTCGTGAGCCAATAGTTACCAGCGCAAAGTTTTATTTTCGGATCATTCTGTGAGCACAATATTATTACAATACCACAACGCGAGATATTATCATCGCCCGGACGACTAGCTAGTATGATACGCTGGAGTGTACCTCGGGGAACTGACATAATATTCAAATGTATTTTTTCCCTGTAAAATTGTCAGATCTCTGTGATACGCTCTGTATAAATTATACGTCATAATATGATACGTCGATATGACATCATTATTCTTCCTAGTCAAATAACCCCGTAAAATTTAATATACCAAAATTTTATATAATAATGATGAGTTATATTTACTATTTTTATTTTTATTTTTATTAATGTAAATACTTTTAATTATCGTATAGATATGTTGTACATATAATAATAAATACCAATAGTATAACCAAATTGTTATCGTATCCGCCTTCTCTTGAAGTATTTTCTGAAAATCCTACAACTACATAACGAAAATTTTATAATGATAATAATAATAATAATAATAATAATAATAATAATAATAGTTATAGTAATAATAATACATAATATTATAACATATTATACTTAAATTACATATTTCATACGAACACACTTTAATTCTTTGAGGTTAAGTTACATTTTTTTTTTTTTTGATTAAAGTCTTTTTATAAAGCTATATTATATAGATATTATTTTAGTTATTATTTGGCTTTTCCAATATTATTACAACCTCTATTCATACCCTTCTTAATATGTACTGACTAAGACTACGGCACCACGACGAAGAAAAAGCGGCGCATGGACACCATTGCTATCTCTCCAGGTTCGCATCCATCGAGTCTATAACGCTCTGCTTCTGGAGAAGTGCGTTGTTCAGTGCGTTGATCTCGTTCTCGTACGTTTTCTTCATTCGTTCCAACTCAGCAGACTGTTCGTAAAGGCGGCCGCTCAAACGGTTAACTTCCTGATGCGCACCTTGTTCGACGCACTGCAATACAGACAATATACAACGCTTGTCAGCTAGTGGTGTGAGAATCGGGTGGGTAAAGTGGGTCAAAAATGAAGTCATAAAGGGATCAGAAAAAAAAATGCTTTTAAGAGGCCTACACGTGACCAGTTTTTAAATTGAATACGACCAATTTTTACAAGAGATTTTGTTATTTTAACTGTGTTCGTTTTAAGCAACGAAATTAGTAATCGAAGTCCAATAATGCGTCCTGTAAAAATTGACCTGTTTCTAATAAAAAAAAAAAATAATCAAATTAGACCACTGCAATACGTGTGAGTTTTTTCTGTAATTCGAGTTTTGAGCAAAAATCACACTATATAATCAGTAATCATCATTGAAGACTAACACAATTGCCATAGGCGACAGCAACGAAATTGCATATTGCCTAAATATTGCTCCTCAATAAAGACACACTAGCAGGCTCCTTAATTTCCTATTAACCTTTTGTTATGACTCATGACTTATCAGCAGACATAAAACACACGTATCATAGGTATACATCAAAATACATAATTTGTAGTCATAATAAGAGTAAATACAATCATCAACGTTCACAGTTCACCATAAGTTTTATCTATAAGCATAGTGCAAGCGGTTATGCCTCATATACCATTGATTAAATACACAATTTATATTTAATCAGCGCATAGGTATAAACATAATAGTAATTCATAAAATAGTTGACGAAAACGTATGTTTTATAACTGATAAATAACAATGATACATTTTGTTTCGCGAAAGTCCTATTTTAATTTTGCCTACAGACCTCAGTTAATAAATTTAGTTAGTATTCTGACGTCGTGTTTGAATCACAAAATACGATTGAAAAGAATTAACGTGCAATAAGCGGCACATAATTTGTTCAGAATTGGCGACCGATAGTGGTCGATTGCCAATCTCAAGTGCGTTAGACGAGACCAGTCAATATTAAAATTAAAATGTGTATAATTGTTACGTGATTTCGGTATTAATTAAATCATATCAACAAAAAATTGTTAATACACAAAATATATTTTGTTTGGTTAAACCAAAGATATTAGTGTTTTTTCTCGTATTAAATTCTTAAAGTTCTAATTGCCGTGCGTTCGATTAATTGCGATTAAAATCAAATCGACGTCGCGGCCCGAACATAATTTATTGATGTGGGGTACTGTGAGTTCCTACACGATAAAAAAAGGTACGTATATAATATTAGTTCCTACATGGTAAAAAAAGGTGTAATACTTCGCACACGGTAGTATCGATAATATGCGCTTTTACACTGAGTATTCCGGACACGCTTTGACTCGGTTCTCAAATGTACCCGTGTAGGTACCTATACATCATTATTGGTATAATACTAGATATTATTATCATCTATTACATCGAAAATCAATCAAGCGATTCCCTGGGATGTCGAAGCGGCAAATATATAATACCGCCGAGGCACACGATAATATTATGTATACCTTGAGGTGTTCGGTAAGAGCCTTTACCCGAGCGCTTATGGAAGCGCTCAACACAGCGGCCGAAGCGTCATTCCGGCCGTCGCCAGCCGCGCGGCGCAACAGCGCCTCCTGTTCGTTGATGGTCTCTCGCAGGAACACCATGGCGTCCGCCAACTGTTTCTTGTTTGTGTTCTTCTCCGACTCGCAGTCGAACAGGTGTTTCTCCAACGCGTCACATTTTGCTTTCAACTGCCTACGAACGATAGACGAAATGTGTATCCATGGGTTATATGTTAGGTAGGTACCTATATTATGGTATTTTAAAATAATACATATTGCAATGATAAAATGTTACACCCCGTACAGGGCATACGCATGTCATAAACGACATAAACGGAATCTATACATGCACCGAAACGCCCAATGGCTCTAATTTACAAACATCCCGCGATAAAATATCAGAGTTTAAAATCCCGCGTGATTATAGAGTGAAATAGATTAAAAGTCCGTTCGAATCTTCATTTCTCGCGTTTAGTTAGCGTAAATGCGACACTATATCGTATGAATAATAATAGGCATATACTTCCTATACTACTTGAAAAAATGGTCAAGTTCAAGACCGTAGCTAGCGCTCCCCTCCCTGGTTAGGATTTAATAACCCCTCCCAAAATGAACAAATGACATTTGAAATTTGAAATCCACTAGTTAAAAACACATTTATATACTCTACCTCCCGGCCTCTTCAGAAAAAAAAAAATTTGCTGATCACGGCCTTGGTTAAGCACAATTTTTTTCCGATCAATACATAGATATATCATATAAACCACGAATAGCAACCTTCAACAATTGTTTAATTATATGCAAAACACAATATTATGCGCACTTTATGTTCATAAAGAGTGACCACTTGTCCACTTAGATAGTTGGATGTCGGGTGACCCCCGGCGGGCGAATAGATATTTTATAGAGTATCATGTCGAACATGGAACGTCTTGCGTATAAGGCGTAGATTTTACAACAGTCGAAATCATGTTCTTCTACCGTATTTTTTTTTTTTTTTAAACATATTAAAACGTTTTCAGTACACGGATTATAATTTAAAATTATAACGATTTATATTTATATAGAAATAACTACAAAAAACATTTTTCAATTTTGAATACGCAGACGTTTGAAAATGGGATGCTCACAAAATCATGTTCATTTACGATGATGTTATATTAAATCCGCACATATCGAGTCGGAGTCCCCCACTATCGTCTACTTAGGCCCTGTACTCTGTAGTTATATGTATATTACGCCTTAACCATTACATCAACACTGACTCGGGTTGTTGTACAGTTATTATGTAGATAAATAACATAATAATATTATGGTTAACAAAAACACACAATCATAAATTGCGTCTTACGAGCACTGTAAATCCAAAGCTTTGTTGATAGATCGCTGTTGATTTAATTCGGTGGTCAGAGTAACGATCCTGATGTCGAGTGTAGGCCTTTCCTCTTCGAACGTTATCAACCTTCGCATCAACGTATCACGTTCGTCATCATACCGACACTTGAGTTCTTCGAAAAGCCTAAAAGTGTTAATAAACTCCATATTTATAAGTTTATATAACATTCAATAAATGTTGATTTATAATTATTATATTTTAATCGTTAGTAGTAAAGTAAAAACTTTGAGTCAGATCGAACTATCGACATCAATTTATATTTTATTTTGATAGTACATGAATTATTTTATAAAATATTGTAGACGCAGACACGAGAATAAGAAAAAGTAATTATGTGTACCTCCGACACTCGTTCACGGCAGACGTGTGTACGGCAATTGGAATTTTATTATCATCTTCGGTTTTCATGCGATTTAAGTCACCAGCTAATGAGGACACACGGCCTTGCAAATGAAGAAGCTCTGTGCGGGCATTTTCATACTTCTCAGCTAGATGGTCTCGTTCACCATTCAATTCAGTAACTAAAATATAAAATATAAGATTCCAAAATAGCCTTATAGAAGTCACAAAAAATTAATACTCTTTGTACAAATGGAAAACAATTACTTTTCCTGCTCCCGTTTCAATGACAGGCATTATTATAATAATAGCAACTTACTATAAATACGTCTGTGATCTGTATCATCAGTGACTACATTTTAAAGATTTTTACCAATTATAAAATTTCATATCTAATCCATAATATACAATAATACATTTATATAAATACATATATAGAAATACAGAATGTTACAGGAAGATCTGATAAATTATACAACTTTGATTCCAATCAATACTTAAATTTTTTTTATTTAATTGTTTGAATCTGGTTCTACGCGTATAATTATAACATTTTTTATTTTTATTTTTTAATACCTACTGAAAATTAAAATTTTTTTTTTAAATTAGCTAATTTGTAAATCTGGTTTTTAGAAGAATTTTAGTTGTAAAAACATTTATGTAATCATGTAGTTGTAGTTTATTTTTTAAGGTTTTTTTTTAAATGTCTACATTTTTTTAAGTAAGACTCGTTAATTTGAAATATTTTTTACAACTGAATCATCATTACTTAACAAAAATAATGAGATTTCAAAAAATCGTAAAAAATAAACTATACATTACTTAAATACAAATGTTTACTATCAAAATTTTTCTAAAACCCAGATTTACAATTTGGATAATTCGAATTTTTCAAAAAAAGAGTTAAATCATATTTAAATATTTTATTTTTGGTTTTAAAAAATAAAAATGTTGCATTATGCGTGTAAGTGTGTAACGAAAAATCCAATAAATAATAAATTCAAAAATGATGATTACAACAAAAGTTATTTTTTTTCTCAGATCTTCTTGTTACGCCTTGTATATCTATCTGCAGTGAATCAGTATTATGCAACAGTGATGGGAACATTTTTTTACAATGTCGACCGGAACGACGCACGTTTTTTTGTGGGTATACTTATAACCATAAAAGAAATTTTGATTTAACTTGACTTGAATCTTTTCATTACTGAGAGCGTATTATTATTTACTTTTGTAGCTGCTATACACAATGCAATTTTCAAAATATTTAGATTCATCTTATGTTATTTATACGACGAACTTATTCGTACCATTTAATACCTACGGTGAGTCTGTAATACGTTTATAAAGCAGCTAGTAATAATTTTATATGGACTTAGGTATATAATAATTAATAATATAATAAAATATTCTTTTCCGCTCAGAATCGTTTTTCGTATGCAATGATTTAGGCATCATTAAGTATTTGAATTCAAAATTTAACAAATCCATTACACAAGCCAACTCAATGATTGAATGATGAGGTACATTAGGGCATAAAGATAGATTCACACCTCGTCGTGTTGTGTAGTGCTCGCTTCGTATATTTAATACATAGGTAACAAAATGTTGGTCACACGTTACCTACAAGTTGAATATATTCAACTCTACACAATACAATGTGGTGTGAATCTGACTTCAGGGTAGTATTTCAAATTTTGATACCGGTATCCGGTATTTGTTTACTACTGGTATCTACGGTATTATCGAAAATATCTTGCCCCGGTAATTACCTAAAATATCGCACCCTGATAATCACCAAAATTACCATACCGAATCTCAGTAAATGTACAAATGTTTTCAAATTTCTAATCAAAGAAAATGTAACTTTAACATCTATTTTAGGCCTATGATGTCTACAATGGAAAACGTTGAATTTATCACTTTTAAGAATTTATCACTTTTTAACCAAAAATAAAAAATTCATTTAAAAAATATTTATCAATTAACAGCGCAATATTTTGGATAAGAACACATTTTTGTCCGAAAACCAAAATAGAATATGATCTAAGGAAGTTTGTTTACATTTTTTCGGAGGCACATCGGGATATTCAGGGCATCGGCCATTGGCCATAAGGATGTTAGCAACGAAAGTAACGTAATATTATTCTGACACGATGTTATAACCGTTATCACGTATTAGATAAGTCATGAAATAAATAATATTAAATATTAAATAATAAATAAGAATTTATTGTTAATATTAATGGTTTGATGTGTTATTGTATTTGGTAGTTTGGTCGTTGTTCTTCACAATTTATTGTTTACACTTATTCAGTTGTTGATTTTTTAATTCTAATGTGACAATGTGTACTTGAAATTGTAATTAATACTTTTACTCTTGTTAACATGGGTATTCCCGGCCTTACATCATTTATAAATCGTAATTCAACTCAATATTTTGAAAATCTACAACTCAAAGACACTTTGGTAATAATAGATGGTTATGCTTTAACTAATTTTCTATACAGGTTGTATGAAAACCAAACAAGTGCGTTTGGTGGAGATTACGACATTTTAGCTAAGGTGTATACGGATTTTATTAAATTGTTAACGAGATGCAATGTAATACCAATTTTTGTATTTGATGGTGCTTATGAACAGCGTAAACTTGAGACAATTATGAGCCGTATGAGCCAACGCATACAATCATATGGACAACCTATGAAGTCTTCTGAATGTATGCCAATGTTTGGTAGTGATGTCATTTTTGACATTCTTAATGATATGGACATACCACATATAAATTGTGATTTTGAAGCTGATGCAGAAATCGTTGCACTGGCCAAGTTATTGGATTGTCCTGTTATAAGCAGAGACTCTGATTTTTACATTAATATAGTACCGTACATACCATTGGACAAAATTATACTTGATTTAGATTCTAATGTGAAAGTAATAAATTGTCAAGTGTATAAAGTTGAAAAATTACTGAACGAATTTGGTGGATTGAATGTTGACTATTTACCTTTAGTGGCTGCATTGTTAGGCAATGACTACATAAGGCAAGACACATTTTCTTCCCTTTTACGACTGAACCCGGGATGTTTCAACTGTGGATTGAAACTTAAACGAATCACAGAATGGCTAAGAAGACAGCATGATATAAGATCTGCTATACAAAATATGACTTATAACTTATCTCGAAACAGTGACTACATCAAAAATCAAATAAACAACATCATAAAAGATTATAAAAATATGAATAGTAAGTACTTGTCATTCATTCTTCAATACAAAAAGATGAGCACATACCAAGATCGATTAAAACATTTTAAATCAAACGAAAAAAGTATATTACCTCCTTGGTTAGAAATTAACTATCGTAGGGGTACTGTAAATGCCGAAGTCATGACAATAGTAACATTAAAAAAAATATTTTTTAAAGTACAAATCGAAGATTATGAAAAACTTCCTTATTATGAAATTTCCTTCAAAATAATGGAAAGAATAATTGGATTATTGTTTGGAAAAAGTGATTCAATTCCCACTTTAGGAAGAAAAAATGGACTTAATATAGGTCAATACAAAATAAAACCATATATAACTAATCCTTACGTACCTTTGGCTGATTTAAATAAGAGTGAATTAGAATATCGCAAAAATATAATTTTGAATTTAGTTGGTATAAAAAAACTTAATGGTGTTCCCAAAGATTGGGAATTATTTGTTTTGATTTTAAGTTACTGGGCAATACATACCAATAATATTAAATCCAGACACATGCATGCCTTAATTGTATGTGCAATTACATTTAGTATCATTAAAAAAATTGAAATTGATTCGAAAAATGAAAAAACTGAAGATAATAATGGCAAAAGTGTTATAGAAGAAAATATCACTAAAGTAAATAAAGAAGATTGTATAAAAGCTATGAGTGTGTTATCAAATTATTTTCAAGTTGGTCAATATTATAATAATAAGCATTTATACTACAAAATTATTCACTCATTTGCACAATTTCAGAGCTGTGCTTATTTTTTTATGATTCTTAACTCTTTATTGGATTTCCCATTTGATCAGTGTCGCATAGAATATTTTTTTAAAGGATCATTTTTGTATAATTTATGTGTACAAATGGAAAACTGTGATCCAGAAGAATTTGTATCAAATAAACTGTTTAACAAATTAGATTCATTAAATACTGTTTATAAATCAATAATTGAACATATAAACCTAATATTGCCAGTTCCAAAAAAAAGAAATGTAACACATGATACTAATAACAGTTCAAAACCCAAAGGCAAAAAAACACAAAAAAAATAAAATTAATCTTGAACATACTATTTTATAATTAAATAATAGTACATATGAAGTATAGTATTTGTGTACCTATATCATTTATAAATAGATTTTAGTTTTGGAAGAATTACTTTATACTTTATTTTATACTTTTATCATAATAACTTGTTAAATATTAAGCTTTTATTTGTTGTAATTAATTTAATAGCAAAATAAATTGTATATATCATGATTTTATGACATATTATGTTAATTTAGTTATTGTAAAATGTGGTGACTTTGGACAGATTTGAACGATTTTTTTTTAAAATAGACCTCAATATTAAATTGTTTCTAAAACAATTTAAAAAATATACCATATTATTCTTTAAGTAAATAAAATTTAAGTGGTTCATGGACAAGTTAAATGGGGTAACTTTAGACATGTATTAGCTTATATTAAAAACCGATGTTAAAGTTACCTACAACAGATGATTTTAAACATTATGAATATTTTTATTTTAAATTAAAATAAAAAAGCCTAAAATGTGATTTAATCTCTCAAATAATTACATATAAATTATAAATCAATAAACTCAGGAAAGTTTACAGCAGATTACCAAAAATCACCTACAAAAAAGAAAAAATTGGTGTGCTATAGTTGTTATGAGTTTGACAATTTGAAAATACAAAAATAAAATATTTTGTATTTACTTCCATACCATTTGTTGATTACATCATGTTATCGATAAATATTATTTTCTATGGGTGTTATAATAAATACTAATGTGGATTATCAGTTAAATTTAACCATAAAAACATTGTTTGGTCCATAATCTACCTCCCCCGTGTTTAAAGTTGCTCTATTTTATTTACATTAGTATACCTATATAAAGTAATTAGGTCATTTAACCTTTTTTTGCTGTTAGTTTTAAATGCAAAAAAAGTTTAGTCACTTGAGTAATACCAATAAAGTTTGGTATACAAAATTAAAAATTAAAATATTAAAAACCAAGTTTACCTCTTGATTGGTATGAACGAAGTAAATCTTGTAACTTTGCTTGATGTAATTTGGCTTGCCTCACCAATAACTCATTATGTTCTTTAAGCATTGCAACTTCGGACTCCACTGATTTCCATTCTCCATACGTAACTTCGACCTTTAACAATTATCAAGTTAAAATAAAAATTAAGAAGTAACTAATTAGATTAGTACTTTTTCATTTGCTTCTTCAAGCTGTTGATAAAGACTTTCATTTTCAGCAGCAATTTCTCTACTTCTAGAAGAAAATCTAGCAAGTTCATTTTTGTAGCTTTCAATAGTAACATCTTTCTCTTCTAAAGATGTTTGGTATGCTTCTAACAATGGTGATACTGCATTAATATCTTCCCTACGCCAGCTTATATTTTTGGGATCTACATAAAACGAAACAAATATATTTTTTACATAATAAGTAGATAACAACAATGTAAAAGCAGTGTAAAACTGAATGTAAATATTCAAAAGGAGAAAAGTGGATGTGCTGAACAGGGGTTAGCATACAATATATATATTTTTTTTTTTCGTTTGAACCGACAGCAGAGGAGGATTTGTGTGAACACTACTACTCCTCTGCTGCCATCAGCATACAATATATTGGTAAATTATGTTTTGAATATACTCCATAACTTACAATAAACCATCTCCCTGAACTAGAAAATTATTTTAAAAAAATGCTTTTATTGCTTAGTCATAAATTCTAAATAGCAAGGCTCTAAGAGCCTTTACTGCACACTTGTTAGACTGATAGTCTACTATGGCTCAACTCTATGAGGCTCTTATGCATCCTCTGACTTATTAACTTGAACATGTTAAGAGTAAGTTGCTAAATAGAAGTGTTCTGTCTTAAAGTAAAACACGAACCACATAATTATACTTCCATCCTACACTACTTAAAGCTTAGTAGTCTATCGAATAGAAGAGTATTCTGTATAAGCCCACATAAATGTCCGTAACAAACTTGAAACAGTTCCATTGATGCTTGTTAACTACTTACAGAGGTTAATTTTAGAATTTCTAGTAGATTCTCCGGATTATCTGCTCCTTACTATGTTCTTCGACACAATACAAATTATAGCCAAGACCACCCTATCCACCAAATGATGTAACTAGGAAATGAGAACCTCTCTAGCCTTTAATACTTTTTATTATATAATATATGTGTAATATTCAATGTATATGTTATTATGTATGCAATGTCTCATTTCTAAAAATTGTAACTTGAGAATCAGCCAGTAATGTATGAAAAAAAAATATATAAATCATCTATATAATATGCAGATATTATAAATTGATTTTTATCCAGTGTAAATATTTTCAGCGAGTGATTACATTGCATGCTTCTCGAGCATTGTGGTAGGTCAAGGGTAAAAACAGAATTTAAAAACAATTAGGATAAGAAAGCTCACTCTGCGAGAGTGTTAAATTCCCGGTTTCTAAACGCATTTTTAATACAGCGCAATTCACTATAATTCCAAATACAGTTTAATAAACATAATTAGGTAACATTAAGATTTCGGTGTTATATTTTTTAAACAGAATTTGGTAACCTTAATATTTTGGTAGTTTATTTTGGCTAGTATATGAGTCAGTTATTTTGCAAAAAAAAATATATATTGGTTCATACTGATACTCACTCATAAGCCCTCTTTGTTAAGTTTCTATCTAATGCCTATCTAGATTCTAGTTTCATCTTACTAAAAGACTTTGGTATGTTGTAACTACCAGGTATTGACACAGAAACTAAACATGTTATGAGATAATAGAAAAAATGCTTGTTTATTGTAACAGTTATTATTTAAAAACTTTTAAGTAAACATAATAAGTATAATTCATTTTAAGTGTTTTAGAAAAATATTCAACACGTATTTATCTAAAGTTATTTGATTTAAACAACAAAATATATCTAAAATAATAAATATTTAATTATATTGTGGAATGTTATTGACATAACTCTATAGATACCTTGTACTCGCATGTAACCTCCAGATTCTGGAAATTGATCTTTTGATAACAGTTTATCTTGACATTTTTCCAATTCTCTATTTAGCCTAAAAAAGAACTTCATTCTTAATATTTGTATACAGTTTCTAAGTTACAAGGTTAATTTTTACCATACCTATAAGTTAAATTTTTTAATACAAAAACGTCTTGTTTGAGTTCTTTGTTTTTATCAATTAACCGATTGACTTCACTTTGCCTATTCATAGACTCGATAGCTGTGCATTGTCTTTGTAGTTCATCTCTTTTTTTCTCCAACTGTTTGAGATGTGATGCCATTCTAGCAACATTTTCTGACATGTCAACATCTGTAATTTTTAAAGTAGGTAAATAACACGTTTATAACTACAATTAAACTTCATCCATACTGTTTCTTAAGCGATCTAAAGGTGATATACTTTCTCCCATATTGGGCTCCCTTCTTGACATTCTTTCCATAGCCGGCACAATACATCTCTCGGCCACTACATCAACCACATAGGGTACCTTCAAAAAGTTAACATGTTAACTAATGGAAAAATGAATACCCGAGTATACCCAACAAATTAATTTGGACCATCATTACTTTATCCGAAGTACTCGAGCGTGTTCTGCGAGGCGGAATTGGAATTTGCCCATCTTGACTGTAATTACTTGCCATATTGTTAACAATATTGCAACTAGCCTACGTCAACAATTGTTTTCATCGGATTCTCGAGATTTAAAATATTATAAATTGTAATTTGTAATTTGTATTACATTTGTTATGACTAGATGAGGTTCCTTAAAAAACAGTCTATGTTTAGTCTTTTTTTGTTTACATATATATTTCTTTTTATGGGAATATTTTATTATTCGTAAGATTACGTTTTAAATTGTTTTGTTGTACAAAATAGGAAGACTGAATAAATGAGAATTCATAGCGATTGAGTATTGACTTTTGTCCTCACTCCTCGCACCAAATTCGTATCGCGTTCTTGTACATGTACAAAAAAATCGTTAATCTTATCAAAGTTAAAAGAAAACACTGATAATAACTAATAATTGATAGCGTCGCAGACCGCAAGTCAATGACCAAAACATTGAATGTTTACAATTATAAATTATAATAATGCAAGTCACATTATGATACAAGACAATTAACTATAAAAAGTATAATGGCACATAAAAAATTGAAATCAGTACATCGACCACTTCATATTCAATTAATCAATTTATCCCTCAACTTTGTGCTAGTACCAGTATTACGGATTTATCTTATTTTTAAAATGTATTAATGTTCCTGAATATTGCTAACTATAAGATTCACCCACAATTCACAATATACATTATTTAACGTTTTTTTGAGATTGATTGGATAGATTTAAATCACACATTTCGATTTTGACTGGGTGTAATATAACCTTTTCATTTAATAACTAGGCATATAATATGTTATATAGGTACCTAGTACTGTAGTAACTCCCTGTATATATTATGTTATTATAATATGATTATACATATATAATAATTAATATTTATTGAAAAATGTATCTTCTTATCTTATCTTATCACTTTTTTTATTATACTTGATGACTATTCCTTATACTTAGCTACGTCTTACAAATATATTCTATATAAAAAAAAAAATAAACCTTTTGGCTTTTACAAATATTATATGCAATTTTTAAAAAATAGTCAATACAAACATTGATCACTCTAGATAATAATATAAATTATATTGACCATTATTTTGTATAACACGTACAAGGAATAGTAATCAAATATTCTGGTATATAATATTGTATAATAAAATTAATTACATTTTAAATTAATATTAATTATATAATATGTACTTGTATAATATATTATGTTGTTAGTTACGTATATAATTGAAAATAAAAATTTAATAAAATATTTTGTATTTTTAATTTTCATACTTTTTGTCCAACTTTTTGACCGATTACTATTTTAGTAGAAATTTTATTTGGACAACTTGGTGTTAACCCAGTTTGGTATTATTTTAAATATTTAATTTGTCATTAACTGTTCATAATTCATAAAACAATCTGTATATGCAATATGCATACTAGCATACATAAATATATTGCAACAATTGAATTTCAAATTATTAACAATAATAATACATTTATGATTGTAAAATTATAATTTAAAGTCTAACATACAAAAAAAAATTAACTAAGACTTTAATATCGACAAATAGTATTTTTAGACTTTGTACATTTTTGGAAAATAAGGAAACTTACTAACTTTGGGATTGAGCACTTATAGAAATTGTTATAAAATAAAATGATAACCGAGGATCTATATAATAGCAAAAACATATTGTTATATTATCATCAACTGTGCTGCTACACAGATTCAGCCATTCATTAAAATAAAATGATCTTTTAGAATTTAGAGCCCCATTTTAAAGTGTGAATTATTCCTTTGCTTATCGAGAGACTGATTCCAGTATATTCTACTGGGTTTCTCGCTTGCTTGAACAATTTTAATTGAAAACATCACTTGATTTTCCAGACTAGAAATACAGTAAAAACTAGTTTTTTTGTCAGCACACAGTAATTTGGCAGGATCAATTGTTTCCAAAATTAGCTAAAAAGTTTACCTGATAAAATGGGTTGCTAAATCATGCCATAAAAAGGTAAAGATTAAAAGGATAAGTAACCAACAATCTGTGTTCAGCAGTTAGCATTAATAATTATGATACAATTGTGGCCAAAATACAAACTTGTTATAATTGACATTTTTTTGGTCCCAGGTTTTCAATTTATTGCTCATAAAATAATTTACAGTAACTACTATAATAATATAGTAGAAAATAGCAGTCCAGAATTTGTAAAAAATATTCAACAAGTTAAAAAAAACATTTCAAATAGAACTGAATATACTATAAAAATGTAATATGATAAAATTTGAATTGTAGCCTAAATAATAAACAATTTAACTTAAGAAAGAAAGAAAGCATAATTTGTTATTTTATAATAAAATATGGAAATTCAATACAAGTATGTATTAAGTACAAAAAATGAGTTATAATTATATTTAAGTAATTGAATAATTTTACTCAAATACCTACTTGGCAAGTTTAGAATATTGTTAACTGAAAAACATGTATGTTGATTTCCAATTTTAATTTGTTTATTTATTTTTAAAAATATGATTATTAATAATATAATGTATTTTAACATATTAAAACATATTCAGTAGTATTTCAAATCATATTATACTCTGTTCAGGTTTTGTTGATCCACCTAAGCGCATGTATAGTGAGCCACCAAAACAGTCAGACCCTTCAGTTGATATCGAGTGCTATGTGATTGGTCACCATTAGTCGACAACCACTATTACTTCTTTGTTTTCAATGAGCACCGCCATGTATTGGGGAGGGAATACACGGCTGCAACCATTTTTTGTCTGACTAATGGGTCAACTTAATCTGAACAGAGTTATTACGGTTGACCATAATAAATAAGAAGTGTTTGATATAGATATTTAATTTATAATACAATGAAGTTAAATAATCAATATATACACTTTTATATGGAAATTTGCTTAAATCTAGTTCTTACAAAGTGGAATATATATTTCAAGGAGCTGGTGGTTGTTGACGAACAGCTTCTTTAGGGTTCTTGACAACTAAAATAACTGAATCACCGCGTAGAAACATTTTTGAAATATACTTGTCACGACTAACTGCCTTTGCCTAAAACAATTATCAATATTTAATAAGCAGTTTAAAATTGTGAAAGCTAATATATATCGACAAACATTTACATTTTCTATATGATTCAATACTTTAAAATACATATACAAATTAAAAATGCTGGTTTTAACTAATTAAATTTACCTTCTTTTTTCCCTTGCCGGTTTTAGGTAACTCAGTCCACATTTCTCGTACATTTTCTAACACCATATTACAATGCCGATCAAAAGCTTTGATTCTTGCCAAAAGTTTTCTGTTATTACGACAATTGATCAGCACCTGAGTATTGTTACGAACAGATTGAGTCAGGACAGACATAGGACCTGTAGTAAATTCTTCTTCTTCGCGTTTTGCTAACTCTTCAGGTGTCATTTCAGATTTTGGTTTATTTGCTACTGCGGCCCTACATCCATAATATTAATAGTCATTAGAACACTTAACTTTAATATAACATCATATATATAACTTATGAAATAAATAGTTTTTAATTTAAAATGTGATAGAAAAAAGTAAAAATTTTAAGAATAGTCGAAGCATAATATATATTTAGTATTTCAATAAGAAGTATTAAGTTGTATCTTTTAATTAAAAAAACATTTAGGTAGTATAATTAAATACGCTTATTGTTTCATGGAGGTAGGTATGTAACAGAAAGTCCAGATAAAAAATAAAAACATACATTTTTAAATACCAATAAACAAGTGTCAATCTATTACTATTTAATTAGGTAATTCAAAAAGTACAATTCCGGTATATTTAGTTCACTACACAAGGTAGGTACGCTTAAGTCATATTATGTAGAATACCTATGTGGTTGGTTATAAAACGTATTTAATGTTATTTATTTGTTGTTAATTCATGCTAATATCAATCGCAATATACTTAAATCATAAGATTCCATCTTATTTACAAATACATGCATCCGAAATTAATTTATATTATTATTTTTTAAGTACATTTACTTACATTGTATAGAATTTGTGTCACAGGAGATGTTCAGCAAATAACTTAATAAAATACGTAGCTTAAATTTTAAAATATAACTATTTAAGAAGATTTAAATTTTTATAGTTACGTGAAATAAAATATAAAGTATGTAAACAAAATCAAAAAAGTAAAAACCGACAATCAGAAATCAAAATGTCGACAGATACCGTATTCGTATCGTTCAATAGAAGCTAACCTCAAAAAATAATTTTAAGTTTTGTATATACCTAAGAGTAAACATTTAATTGAGGTATCAACCACAACCAAGTTTACGTGATTATTTTGTGATAAAAAAAAATAAACATAACCAGTCCTCATCGCATATTTATCATTTATTCATTTGTATGTGGCGTACCCATGTCAACTACAGAATGTCAGAATCTTTCGAAATGAAAAAAAAATAAATATTCTGGCGGAATCTGGAATGAATATTAGATTTAAATACTCCAATTTGATATATGTATTGGTGTTAAAATTAAAAACCTGAAGAATTTTGATTTTTGAACTTTAAAAATGTTTTCATATTTTGATGATTTTCATAAAAATGTAAACTGCATATGCTTCTAAAAAATTGTGTTACGATGTGTTTTTGATATTTATGAATATTATGATGAATTTGGTATTACGTTTTCAAACTTTTTTGCTGATTTTTAAATATATATATAAATAGCACTAAAAACTTAAATTGTTTGAAAATTTTAAAATGTCTAGAAAATGATATAAATATTAAGTGAAAAATGCAGTCATTTAGTTTTACTTACGTACAAAAAAAAAAATTGATTTAGTAAAAAACTAGTTTTGGGTTTAAATTCTTGATTTCCCTAATTTTATTTTTTATTTTTTCTGATTACCTATTTTGGAAATTACTGGAAGAGAATCTAAATTTGTACCTCCGCTGGGAGGTCTCTTCACTTTGTTTTTCTTGTCATTATTTTACTTTATATTTTATCATCAAATAAGCTTATTGTTCAAACTAACAGCTAGTCAACACTAAAAAAATGTTGGGAAAAATAATTATAATATTGTATAGGTAATTACTCTTTAGAGTGGGTACTTCACAGTTAGTTCGAATTTGAAGAGTTTGAATTGTTGTAATCGAATATTTTCAGTGGAAAAGAAGAAGAACATATTTTTATTGTCCAATTAATTTTCAAATCGATGAAAACCGAATTGTACCACTTCTCAACAGCAGCTTCCATGAATTTTTTTATATAGCCTCGGGCTCGGAAACTGACTACCAGACTATTGAGATAAGGGGCCATAATTGGCATTTGGCACACCGGATGTCCCTGCTATATTACTGGTGACAATATTCGGTCGAGGAAAAAAAAAAATAATATTTATAATAATAATAACTCGAATGGTTGGTATATAATTTTATCATATTTTTCTGTAGGTATCTTAATTTTCTTGGCATTTTTAATTATTTAAATTTTATAAATAATATAAAATATAATCATTATTATTTTATATTTTCCAATGACTCTACCTACCTATGATTATAGGTAAGATGATTATTTGTTAATTATATTTTAACTTAATCTAGACCTTTGTTGTTGTATCAGTATAATTTTGTAATAAATATAAAATAATAATGGGATCCACTTTGTATTGACTTATCAAATAAATAACTTGGTAAATGTTGAACTATTGTACTTAAAATGTCGATACAATAACATACCAATGTAAACCTATTAATTATGTAAGTACCTAACCTTAGTAACTAAGGTACTACATATAATGTATAATTGTACCTAGAAAACGATTTTCAGCACTCAACAGTTTCTGTTATACAATTCTGTTACGCCTTCGTTGCTCGCTGGCGTCGCTGCTTTCACAATATCTATAAATAATTTATTATATAAAGGTAGATACATATTTACATACATGGACGAATCCAGGAAGGGGGCCTAGGGGCCTAGCCTCCCCAGATATATTATTTCCCAAATTTTTATTATAATTCTACAGATCCTGATATTACTATACTTCAAATTACATAATATTGTATGCCTGATAATATAATTTATTATTATACTTATACGTATCATTCTGGGGTGCATAAACTAAGATAGTAGGTGCTACCTATCTTAGTTCATGGTGGACAGTGACTCCAATATTGAAATTTTACATTAACAAAAAATTGCGCCACCTTCCCCCCCCCCCTAGATCTTTGCTCTGGGTCCGTGCCTGTATACATGTATGTAGTATATAGTATAGAATATTCGATGTGTGATATATAAAACTGATGAAATGTCGGGTAATTATAGTGCATTAATATCGACTTAACATTTTTTTTTTTTAACACTCCAATTTAATTATTGTACCAAAATTTCATAATACATATATGTATAAGTGTATTTCATAAACATAATATGAGTTTAAACTATTAACATTGTATAGACCTATTTAATGAATTAGGATTTTACAGCATAGATATAGGTCCTATCTGGTCCAGGGACCAACATTTTTAAAAAATATCTATAAATATATATATTATATTCCCCGTTAATATAGAAACTAGCAAGATATATATAAATTAGAGCCCATTGTCAACCGCTTCAAATGGGTTCATATTTTTATTACCTCTTTTATCGCACCTCTTGTTAGTTTCTTCATCGCCCAGAAGTATCTGTGCGAATAAGAACCATCGTTTCTCTCTCCGCTATATTGGTCTAATAGTGTATGTTTGGTGAGGAATGAGGATAGGAAAGACATATCCATATGTTTAATATCAATGACTTTGTCACTATACAAGAAACCTACAGTGGCGTATGGGGTACAATAGCTGTTCGTGCACTAATATGTTTTTGGCATAGGTAGTCTAAATGGGGACGATGAAACACAACGGTTTTCACGACGCGACGAGGGGGAGGGTTGCAGGTGGTGACCTTATACCGGGCTCCTATATTATGGCCATGGCGCTTAAAGTTTTCACTCACTGAGCGCAGAGCGCGCCCGCGTTACTAAGGGACGGTGCGGCGGTGTCGAGCAGGCGCGCTCCGCAACGATTTTCCACGGTCGTGGACGGGGAGACGGCGGTGCAAGCCAACAAACACACAAACACACCCACACAAACGCACACGCACGCATGCAAGCGAAAGTACGCAACACACCACTGCGACATCCCTCCCAGCTTTAGCGCTAGTGCGTCCACCTATATATTATATTATACCACCGCCGCAATATCCGGCGTTGTCACGGTGCTCGTTGTTCGTCCGCGGTCCGCTGCAGATTTGACGCCGTTCGTCCTGATGAACATGCTGCTGCTGCTGCCGCGCAAGGGAGAATAATCGAACATCGTACTGCTGCAGCGTATAGAGCGGCCCGGACCCGGAGACCGCGATATCGCCCGTGTAGAACTGCCGCAGAATCGGCGAATGGCGCCCAGGGACAACCAGGAGCTGGTGCCGCTTACCGACGGCAGCGGCCGCCCGAACGATGACGACGAACTGGAAGGCCAACGTCCGCAGAAGAGATCGGCCGCCACGTGTCTAGACGACAGCGGTGGCGGCGGGGGCAAAGGTCAGCTGCAGACGCCGACGAACGACATGAAGACGTCCATGCTCGCCTGTCAGCAGGTCATCGGACTTGGCACGCTCTGGAGATTTCCGTACGTGTGCCTCAAGTACGGCGGTGGTAAGTTATTGTGCCTTTGGTCTTAGAACATAATATTATATAGGCCATGTTATGCGTATTACAAACTTTTATTATTTATTTTTTATTTATTTCAAACATTTCTAATACCCCCCCCCGAGTCCAATCATTATATAATGAGCGAGTTATGATCATTATTTAATTCCAATTATTTACGTACTCACAACATAGGCACTTAAAAAAATAAAAACATCATAAAAAAAATCAGCATAATATGTACTGCAAACACAGATAATTTATTAATTGTCAATGTACTATACTTGTTTCAATTCACTCAAATATTAAAGCTAATAAAATTGAAACGCAAATTTGATATCGTGTGTGTTTGTAAGAAAGACACTACAAATGCAGATGTGACGTACACTAATTAATGATAAAACATATAAGAAACATATATCCATTAAGGTTTGGTTAAGCTGTATAAAAATTGTATATGACTACGTATCTATTCGTGAACATGTACATTCGATAATTTGATAATATTTTTTTACGTGATAACTGATAAAAAATAAAAATATTACCTACCTATATACATAAAGTTGATTGGCCTGAGCTTAGAAATAATTCAAGTAGTACATTTTTGTAGGATTTAACTTACCGTTAATGGATGATCGATTCAAACGACATTATTAAGTTACATCTTACATAATATACTTACATTTTGTTTTTAATAAATGTCACTTGTTGGTTTATAAAAAAAAAACTTAATCCATAAAAAACGTTTTCATTTTTAATATAATATATAGATATAGCTTACAAAAATATAAGATGCATCTATTATAGCCTTAAAATATTTTAATATTTTATTACTTTTTTGATAATATATTGTTTTTTTATAGTAAAATATGACTGAAATTGTTAATTTTAAAACTAAAACTTAAATTATTGATTAGGTTTATTTTATTTTTGAGATTCGATAACGTGGAACATGGAAAATAGAAAAAGGATACAAAATTTAAATTAGGTAATGTTTCTTGGTTGTTCAGTGTTATTAGTTCAATAAACTTGATAATAATATCATAGAGGTGGATGATTCGGGCACCATATATTCTTGTTTAACCATAAGTCTATGCAAGTCTTATGGTATATGCATAAACATTTTAATCGAGCTATCCTCTGTCCATATTCCATAGTGTCCAGACATATTGCACATTCATCATTTCTATTCATATTTACCACGTCTTCGTTATACATCTTGGCTCGTAATTCGGACATTTTTGAACATTGCTCAACATGCCTACACGAATTTATAATATTTATTTAAAACTATATACACAATTAATTTATGATAAATCAAAACAAGGGTTGTTAAAATGCCGTGTTGTATACATTTTTATATGATTAAAGTTATAAACCTTAAAAGCATGATTGAGAAATGCAATATTAAAACAATTATTAAATAGCAAATTTATGTACAATATGCAGGATGCAGCTACTGTGCTAATATTACTCTGTAATAATGTGTATCAAATATAAAAAGTAAAATTGTATGTTATGTAAATTAAAAATTCCGGACTGTTGGTATATAGAGTTACAGTGGCGTATTTAGGAAATTTGTATGGGTAAGGTGGAGGGTCCAAATAATTTTCCCAACATTTATAATCCCGTAAAAAAAATTTAACACCATTATGGGACAAAGGTGGGGTGTCTGGATTAATACTCCACTGGTTGAGAACATTACAGGGACTGGTGTTGATCTGTCGTTTCCTTTCTATTTTTACGGTGTAGGATAGGTTAAGCTACTGGTGTATTTACTAGAATAAATTAATATAAAAACAATCATTTCATATGAATTCTAATTTTGAGCTATACATATAGATAATTTAAATTTGTATACTTAACAGTAAAATTAAAAGAAAATTACAAACGTGTTAAATTCTATTTTCAAAACATCAATAGTGCCTTGAAATGGTCAAATTTGGTTCTCGTAAATAAGTGATTGACAAAAATGTCAAGAACTAGTGATTATTATTTTTAACTTGCAACAAAATAACTAGTCTATTTTGTTAGCTATAAAGCATTTAGTATAGTACACATTATATCAAGTTTCCATACTTTATAGTTTGTAATTACTATGAGACCGGGGATTAAGTATTTAAGTCTAAATAACTATTAACTTACTATACCTACCTAATAATAACATTAACAATTCTAGTATATTTGCGGCCAGTCATAATTTTTGTTGTCGCAGTGGGATCAATAACATTGTTGATTTAAAAAAAAAATGTAATTGATATTAATTGTTTGCTTGGGACTATAGGATCAAGGATGGTATCATATAATTTAATCCATTGTTAAATTGAAATAAATAATAATTGAATAAATGTTATACTTAGGTACCTATTTATTATTTATACATCGTCTACATTCTGATATTCATAACATCCAATATGTTGTATATTTTGTACAGAACCTAGCCAATAATATAGGTTAGCTACAAGGTACCTACCTAATAATGTGTTACAACACATGTTGTTTTGATAGTTTTACCTTAATGGTAAAATGGTATTTACTAAACTTAATAAAGACAACATTTGTTAATTGTTATCAATTCTGACCCATAATATATTTAATTATAAAATTATTGACTATGAATAAATATTACTAAAACAGGAATAACACATATTATAATCCCTAAACCTCTATTTGCTATTTTTTTAAGTGTAAGCTACAATATTATGATTTGATAATATTGGTAAATACTAAATGGTAATGAGTACTTAATGACCAATATTAGCAAATAGAATATTTAGTATGTTAAATTCATTCAATTACATGTTTTACAATATTAAGATAAATATATGTAGTAAAACTGAATAACTGATATCCTTACTAAGGCAGTGGACCACATAAGTAAATTATTTTACAAAAATACATAGGCATTATGACGTGCTTAATATCTTGTTTTTAAGAGTTAAATATTACCGACTAGGTATCGACTTATCAGAGCTTTATACTATAACTAATAAGTATAATCGTATAAAATATTAAACATATTATACAATAATGTCAAATACCTACAATTATTTACAATTTACATACCTACTTTATAGGTTGTAATAATAATTATTATTTATTAGTTATTTAGATATTATCAAAATTATATAGGTATATACTATTTTTTATTTCTCTCATACCTACAGTTTTCGCGTGATACATCAGAATTTAACTTAAATTTAACACGCAAGACTTCATTGATTTTTAAGTATCTAGTACCTACCATCTATAGGTTAAAGTGGTTCTTAGTTTGTGTATTATAAATATTTACAAACAAAATTGTTTTTATTATAATTATATTCTGCTAACAAGAAATTATTTAAATACCTACCTTAATTTATGTTTTATATTATATAGAACATCGTAAAATGTATATAATAGGTAATCGTGTTAACTCATAACTGTTATTATTTTATACACTGATACCCACATAGCCTTATATTTAAAATATTATGGAAGTTTTAAATTATAAAATAGTTTAAATTTAGTTTCAAAATAATGTCATATATAATGTATATCTTAAAAATGATACATCTTTATATTTTATTGTTATTAGTTAAATATACTGATACGAAATATATTTTTGAATTAGAATCCTTTAATTTATAGTTGAAACCACAAAATATATATGGTTAATTTTGTATTAAATAATTTAATGGTCATTGTGGTAAAAATAAAAAATTGTTTAGCAATAAAATTTAAAATAAATAAATTGGTATTTGAACATTTTATGGGAAAACTTGCTTTAAATTTTCAAGGTTTTTGACTTACCCATTTTTATCGACATGTATAGGAAAAAAATTAAAAGATTAAAAATGTCAAGTGGCTATACACTTAGCTCAAAAAGTGTTAAAATATTTTGAAATGTATAGAAAAGGTCCATATAACAATTGGTGAAAGTATTAAGTATCTATGAATATTTGTTTTGAAATCCAACAAAAAAAAACTGAATGCTGGTGTTACGTAAAAATATATAGATTTAAATATAACAAACAGGAAAGTTCTAATTGCAACTTTTAAAGAACTCTTTCATTTTAGAATCTAATAAGAATTAGAAGGAATGACATACTTAACATTTTTAAGTTTATGATAGAGCTCACTTGTTATAATGATGTATTAAAATTTTCTTCTGGCATATTGGACAATATTCTTTTTTGCGTTTTTTACAGCTTTTAAGTTTAGATACATACAACGACCATTGATTATGTGAATTATTGTTTCCCCTTTGGTTCATTAAGGTTTATAAAATTTTGTTTATTATTTAAATGTTAGTTTTAAAAAACTAGTAAGTAGTTACTATGAAAATGAGTTTGTAGAATTATTGTTCAGTATGAAAAACTATAAAAACGTTTTATCGATAACCACTTAGTAAATAAATATTGATAGGAAATATGAAATATATTATATAATTTGTTTTTAGGCATCTTATAAGTAATTTATTATAATGTTTTTAAAATTACATTAATTTTTAATTTCAGGTACATTTTTAATTCCATACATGGTCATTATGTGCTTAGTGGGTTATCCATTACTTATTATGGAAATCGGTATCGGTCAAAAATTGAGACACAATAGTATATCAATATGGACAACAATTAATCCTCAATTAGGAGGTATCGGCATAGTTATGTGTTTAGTTAATATAGCTATGGCTTGCTACTACGGAACTATTATAAATTGGGGAACTAAATATATGATCGACATGAATAAGGTAATTATTATTATTAAGTACTTACCAGTTCAATAACATTAATATGAATGTAAAACATTTCAATAATTGTGGTTTGTATATATTTTAAGTACAATTTTAGATTATAGGTACTTCTATGTTCTAATTAGTTTTAAATTTGTACATAAAACAATACAACTCCATTACCACTATTAAGAATAGAAGTTTTTTTTATAATAATAAAACGACTACTATTTTTAATTTTTTAAGTAGGCACCTATCAGCTACCTACTAATTGCAATATTATTTTAATTTTAGTTTCCAGACTTGTGGCCTCCACACGGGCAACCATCTATTGATCCCAAAAGATCTCAGTCATTCTGGCACAAAACTGTATTAAATGTAACAAGTTCTATGGATGAAACTAGTGATATACAAACGGGCCAAGCATTTTCATTGTTTTTCACATGGTTCTCTTTAGCTATAATGTTAGCAGCAGCTTGGTTTACATTTAAAAACAAGTATATACAAGTATGTATTATTTTGATATTATAATAGAGATTATTTTTTACATAATATAATTGTATTTATTTTTTTGTAGGCATTCATTAATTTTTCGAATACAATGTTTCAAAGTTTACCGTTTTATATTCAAATTATGACATGTGCAATTCCACCATTGTTGTTGGTTGTTGTATACATTGTAGAATCAGGTTATGGATATATTAGCTTCTTGTATATCACGTCAGTAGAGGTTAATACATTTTTCATTTATTTTAATAATTTAAAATAGTATATAAATATAATATATATGTATAAATATTAAATATTATTTTATACATTATTATTTTACAGCTAAAAGACTTGTTAGTTTTCCCGATCTGGGTTGACGCAGTTATCCAAGTATTCTGTTCATTGGGATTAGTGCATGGTCCATGGACATCTTTTGGTTCATCTTCTAAACGTAAAAGCAATTTTCTGTTGACTGCTACTGTGGTGGTATCTTTCAGTTTCATTTTAGTCTTTGTGTGGACTTGGTTTATAGTTTCCACAATAATACCAAATGTTTTACAAGACATTAAAAATTGCGTAATCGGGTATACTCAAACTACACGAAGATAAAAAATTATACGGGGGTGAATTGAAAACGAAACATGTTTACTTTTATTCTTAACATTATTCTAATTGTTTCGATTTTAAATCACCCAAGTTTTAAATTTCTATAGCCAATATAAAAACGGTACGTTGTTGAATTGTATTATTTATGATTTTTAGATCAGCATATAAGTGGGATAATTCTAAGGATATGCCTGCACACGTGTTTTACAGTAATAATTATGATGCGCTAATTGCTAGTCGAAAATTAGACGACACATTGATGAGTTTTGACGTACAAGAATGTAACATGGAAAATCAATTCAAATTGGTAATAAATATATTTAAAATATGATCTTTATTTTTTAATATAAAAAATGCATATTTGTATTTTTTTGATTAAACCATTTGTCCATTTACAATAATTAAATCGGGGGACGAGGTGACCGAGTGGTCTGACTCTTCCGCTGCGACTCAGCCGGTCGCGGTTCGATCCTCGGCCACCGGGCGGCATTTTTCTCCGGACAAGTCGCGGTGACCGGAGAGCAAGTGCTGCCATCCCCCACCCCCGGGGCATGGCAGAAACCTACGGGTGCCCCATTCGAAATTCTGCCAAAACAAACACACACGTGTTCCCCCCTACCGTACCAAAAACATACAAACCATCAATACAAAAACCTACAGTACCTACTAATAGCTAATGGCCACAGTTGCCGGGCTCAGGATCAATTAAAAAAAAAAAAAAAAAAATTGAATCGATGTTGTTGGATAATTACAACTTTTACTGACCAGTAGAAAATAGGTATTCTCTTAATCAAAATATTTTGATAAATACCTATAGGTTAGTAATAATTATAATATAAAAACGTAGGTACGTTTCATGATATTTAAAATAGAATGTAATGTAGTCAATGTAGATGATAATTTAATTTAATAACATATTTAAAATGTACTATAATATTTCAATGATTTAGGTGACAAGTATTATTTATGTAATTCATATCTAGGTAAGCATTTGCTTTAATTTTTAAACGAAAGTATATATCTCCATTTTCCATAATTTAAAGAAATGCGTACTTTTATAGTGTGAGAATACTACTAATAACATTTAAAAAAATATATACATATATACTGAGGTTTATCGAATTAAGATATAATTTATAAATATTTAGGTATGAGTTTTTACTAAAGTCAAATCCCTTCCAATAAGTTATAATATTCTTACGTCAATATTATTGCTGTTTCATATTATTTATTTTATATGAATTAAAACAACAGAGTTATGTTATAATATATTTATAAATTACAATACTTGTAACCTTACTAATAATTTTTTTAATATATTAAAGGCAAGCAATGGTGTTGGCCTGATGTTTATAGCACTTGGAGAGTTTACAACAACTTTTTCACTTGAGAAAATTACTGGCTTTAATCAAACCAAATTTGTCATTAACATTCCGCAAATATTAATTCTTACAATTGGTACAGCATGGTTGATACGTGTATTGAGCTGGTTTGTCTGGGCACTTACTGAAGTCAAATGTTTTAAAAAATGTTCTCCTTTTTGCATTTCAAGTACGTGTTTAATATTTTGTGTAATAAATGCTATACTATATACAATTTTTATTGGATTGTACCTATATGTTATTTTAATTTTGATCATTGATATACGATAATATTACATTACACTGTTGGTTATAAGATAAATAAAATTTACAAATTTCAAATATTATTTATAGGCGTACTTTGTGCAATATGTTGTATTTGTGGATTGGTATTTACAACTAGAACAGGTGTTTATTGGCTGTCATTATACACTGAAGTTTTTATCAATCCATGTTTGACGGTGTTAGCTCTTTGCGAGGTTCTAATTATTGTTTTCATTTATGGATATAAACAGTATGTAATAAATATATAATAGCTTATACAATAATATTTCAGTTCCCATGAATTAATAATAATATATTGTTAATAATTTTGTCGTCAGATTTTTACTTGATATATATGATATGACTGGACATACAATTGGTCGTCTTTCTATATTCATCTGGAGACATGTTACTCCAATGTTGCTGATATTAACATTCTCTTCTATCTTGACTGTCGGTATTTTGGATGGCTTCAGATATGAAGTTTGGACACATAGGAGCGTGAGTACAAAATATTCAAATTACTATGATATATCTGGATACAGGGATATCCCATATATTTTTTAGGTAAATTTGAGTTGTAAAATAAAAAATAAATTGTAATTTAGCATTTACAATTTGTAAGTAAATACATTTTTATTTCAAAACCTTTGAATGCTGATAAATAAAAATGATTCTATATGTATTTAAAATCTAACAATTATTTAATTATTAAATACATAGTAGGTAAATTCACATTTTTTTTTCTTCAAATATAGTTTATAAATTATCATTTAAATACAATTATAATTGACCAAGGATTGTTTAATCAAAATTCTGTACCCCTGCCGGCAACCAGTCTTGAATTAATTTTGGTCGAAAACATGATGTATTATATATTAATAATTATTATGTTTAATAGTCACATTCATAGGATAATCTCCTTAAGTTAACACACTCTTTTTTTCAAAAACTACTGACGTATTTGAAAATATTATTTTATATAATTTGTGTAAAACAAACTAATTTCTAAAAAATTATATTATACCTATTTTATTTTTTTATTGATATCATTTTTAATGTTTACTCTTTTCAGTGACAACATGAATTTTTAATTTCTTATTCCCAAGCAGAATATTTTTTGTAGTATTTCAACAAATAAAAATTGTATTTTAGATGAATGTAATTTATAAGTTATAAAGATCTAAAATTTAGATTGAAGCGATACTGAGGTACTTAGTACATGCTCTTCAAAATGTTGGTTCACTACTCCCCTAATGAGCTCATCTACACTTTAGATAGTTAAAACTTAAAGTTTAAGACCGAATCATATTTTTTTGTTTTATAACTTGTACATATATAACACAGTAGGTATACACGAACAAAACAAAAAACACCATTATAAAATCAATACATCGATCTCTCCACTTAGAATCTAAGCTCTAAATATATGTTAATAAGTATATTATATAATCTACAATGATTTCTGATAGTATCAGATATATGTACAATACTGCAATGTACATACTATAGTCATTGTAGATTTGTAGCATTACCAACGAGTTACGAGTTCTTACATTTATATATATGTATAATGCATATGTTGCAATGTGTTAACTGTTAATGGTTTATATTGAGCCTATTATATTTAAGGATAACGTTGGACGTGGTGGGCATTAATTTGAGGTTACGATCATTAGTTTAAATGGCTTTACGGATGGAAATTGGTCATTTACGCTATTGGTATTTAGTGAGTAACCTTAATTGAGCCGCTTAATAATAGTTGTCCATGTTTATTTGATGTGTTTGTTCACGCGATTTCCAACTTCGACGAATCTTAAAATAAACCACATATTTAATCTGAAACTAAACTAATGACTAATAATTATTTATGTTGATCGTTCAAATTGGTTTCTAATGTAGTGGTGTTGAAGACTGTATGGTTTGGTTCACAGGAATATATTAAT